TCACCTGCCCCGCCAGCCCGGCCAGGGCGCGCAGGGCGCTGCTCGCCACCTCCGAGGCCGCAGGGTCGGCGCCCGTCTCCGGTGCGTGGCCGCCGGGCTGGAGCGGGCTAGGCGCCGCCGCCATGACACCGGGCCGGGCCGCCGCCGCCAGCAACGTCCCCGCCGTCGCACGGCGATGACGAACCCCTCGGGGGGCCGTGCCCGGTGGCCCCGCCCCCGAGGACTGATGGACAGGCGCGCCAGCCAATGGCGGGGTGCGCTCCCGCGGCCGGCTGACATGGCCGGGCCGGGGAGGCAGTGGCGAGCGGTGCTGCTGAGGATGAGGGGCTCCTCCTGGGCTCCTGAGCCGGGCTGCCCTGCTGGAGTAGCGGCCGCTCTGTCCCAGCGCGCAGGAGTGGCGGCTCGGGGCAGCTTCCCGGCTGTGGCAGCAGGGCCCGGGCCGGGGAGGCAGCCTCAGGCCTGGCTGGCCTGGCCTGGCCAGACTCGGCCCGGCCTGTGGCCCCCTGGGCTGTGGTGTGGGGGGGACTCTCTCCCGCAGTGCGAGCAGCCCCGTTTCCCAAGCCTGAGGAAGCATCTTAACTCCTGCTCCTTTTTTCAGGCTTCTCTGGGACGCAGAAGCTTTTCTCAGCTGGGGTGTGTTGGAGCCATGGGGTGACAGACCACCTGAGTGGTGACAGGATGGCAGTGTGTTGGCCCAGGGGTGCTGTGTGCTGTTCTGGTGCCTGTGACACCAGCAGGCTTTGAACCCTAGGCTGCGGCAGCTCCTGTGGGGCATCCTCTCCCTGCAAGGTCACCTTACTCGCTCACCCTTTTCTTTGCCTCCTGGCTCATTCCTGCCCTTCAGCAGCCTCCGTGGAGCTGTCAGCGTGGGCACACGGCAGGCACGCTTACAGGAGCGCTTCCCAGAGCGCTTCCCCCGGGTGATCGTTCATGGAGGGAAGGACAGCGTGTGTTTAAGTGTATCAGATTACTGTGCTTGCTTCAGCCGTGCTTTTCTGGTGATACCTTCACTTTTTTACATTCATATGTGCTTCTCTTCAGAGCCTTGACTCCTCTGGTTACAGCAAGGTTGTTTTTTCATCAGACCACGAGGAGCAAGTTTGTCAGAGCACTCCGATTATGGGGCTTGCAAGACTGTATTCCCTCTAAGACAGTCTGCTTGATTTCTTTCCTAGGGCAGTATGAATGCTGACGAAGATTTTCTACCCAATGTTTCCTTTGGTACCCTTATCTTGATGCTTTAACCTTCTTTCTGTCCTGTCCCCCCCCAATATTTTTTATTTCATTGGGAAATGGTGGGTGCTGTTGTGTATACAAGTGTTAAAGCATTCTTAAATAAAAATGTTCAAAAGCAGATTAATTTATTTCACTGATAGGTGGGTATTTGAAAGACATTCCTCTCTAAGGTATCCAGATAAAACTTACCTTAATTTGATGAAGATAAAGTCCACTAAACTGAAGACATAGAATTCTGTATCTCCATTCAGCAACCAACTTAAATATTTGAGAAAACTCAAGTCAAGAAAGCCCTACTCTGTTCCAGAGAGTTGAGAGAGCTGTGATCTTTCCTTTGCTTTTGAGCTTGTTACCTTTACCTGTAGCAAGAGGTTGTTTTGGGGTACAAAATATTTCAAATGAAAAATAAAGGGATAACCACATAAATGTCAGGCAGATACTGGAGGTTACACTGCCGCATACGTGGCGAATGGATGTGGAGGATATCGAGATGGTGATGTACCGTTATTTATTCAGTGATCATTACAAGAAAAGCGGGCAAAAGCCAGTGAAGTTGTCTGCAGAGCTGTTGATGTCAACCTAGTATTTACGAAGCAGAAACTGGATCATGGCCTTCTTCCTGTTGATGGGAAACTCTGAGAAACAGGAGTGATGCCTATGGGTAAAGAGGGCACAGATTTTCTTCCTACTTTCACTATCTCAAAAGGCCTTGAGCCACGTTGCACCTGCTAACTGAATAAATTTGGTATCACCTGAAATTTCACAGATTAAACTATGTAGTGCATTATGCAAGCACGAACAGAAATAATCCAAAGTGATTTAAGAGATTAGAAATATGAGAGCATGTGAGAAAGTGAGAGTAGGGCAAAAAAGGTGCAAATACAGCTAGGACAAAGTATGTTAAACATTCATATCTGATGGAATAGACAGACCAGAGCAGAATGGTTCCAAACGATGGTTACATGCTCACTGTGTGTAGTGCACAGGAAAAATGAATCCACTTGCAATCACCTCTGGCAGTAAAAATGGCCGCAGTAAACCCAGGCCTCCCATAAAGACAGAGGAAATTACGTGGCATGCTCACTAAAGCTGGTGAAACAATAAAGTATTGGAAGCTCTCATTGCTGGAAAGATACTAGATTTGGAGGGAATTTGTAGACAACTGGCAAGAAATGGGTTGCCAGAGACGGATACTAGTTTAGAAAGAGGGATCAGAAGATTTCAATATGTGTAACTTGGCAGTTATGTTCGCTTTCAGATATTTTAATAATGTGACTACTAAGGAAGGGAATAATCTGGAATTGTTTTCAACATTCAGGGATAGAGTTATCGTGGTAATATTAAATCTTCTGCAGCTTTGATCCATGAAATGGATCTCTGAGGAGTATAATAGCCTCTCCCACCAAAACTACCTTGAAAAATATAAACACAAACACACTAAGTTCTTCAATGGCAAATGTCATGAAAATGATTTTGAAATGGAATAAATAAATTTCTTTTGGTTTTGGACTATTGTCACTTTTCATTTGTTTCATAAAATGATAAAGCTATACACCTCTTTCCAGCTTTAGGTGCCTTTGAACACTTTAAAATCAGAGTAAACTTTAATAAATTGACACAAGTTCTGTTTGCTGGTCACCACTGTCATAATTACTAGAGCTGCTTTTTCTGCTGAACATCACATTCCCATAATTTCTGAACTCGCACTTTCATGTTGTCCCTGACTAACAGCCAGAGAAAGGTGGGTGCTTTGCAGAATGTACCAGTGCTTGAGGTTTGTTGTGCTGAAGAGTGAAGTGTCGAGCTAAGGAGCCTGTGTAATGTATAAGCAGATTTTTCTCCTGAATTGAAAAGCTCATGCTGTGTACCTCTGTTTGTGTCAGCTGTAGATCATAGGAAGGCAAAAGAGACAACACTTCAGGAAAAAAGTAAACTGAAATCATTTGGAGCCTCAAAGATAAAAACAATACCCTGAATTCTTAATAGAGCCCCAGGCAACTGGTGCAGCTTAACACTGGCTGCTGTAAATGAAGTTTTCCTTAATTTTCAGATTATCAGTGCTACTCTAAAATACCTTAGTTCATAAATAGAAAATTTATAGTATCCTACCCGTTGGATTAAAATAGAATAGGACATAACAAGTCCCCTCCAGAATAAAAGTTTTTATTTAGTTAATTTCAGAAGAAGAGCACCTTATTTCTGTTGCTACCTGGGTACCCAGGAAAAGGCATCACTCCAACCAAGGTTATGGACCCTGGTTCAATAACATGCTTAAGTTGCTGCCTAATTTTCAGCACTAGCCCAGCTGAAAAAACTCTGCCTACTTCTCTAAAATGTCACCATGTGCTTATTAACTTCATCAAATAAAGGCTCTGAATTGCAAGCCTAATTCTCCAATAGGAGCTGCATTCCTTCAAAGTAAATGTCTTTGCTGACCTTTTGGTGTTTCTCTCACTCTATCAAAATTTAGAAAGCCCTGTTCAGACAGGATTGGAATGGGGTTTGTATGAAATGTTGTGTGGGAAATACAGCTGTGATGTATTTGCATTTAAAGATAAAAAACAAAACTATAGCTATCTTATATTTAAGACTGGCAGTAATTTTGTCATTCCTAATGAAATGCAAAATCTGCTGAGGCTGCTGCCTGCTTTCTGTTTATCGTCCTTATCCTGACATGCGCATAGACCCAGGATCCTTCCTTTCTGAATTTTTTCACCCTGGAGATTTTCTAATACTGCTCCATGCTTTGCCTTACTTTGGTCATTATTTTTCATATCTTTGTTTAGTAACTTTATACCATATTTAAGTTTTATCTCCCTGTTTGCCCCCTCTTTCTTGCTGCCATCTGCAAGTAAGATTAGCATCCTCTGCACAGAGTTCTTCAGTTCAGTTACATCATTTGGGATCGAGAACTAACCTCTGCAAGGCCCAGCCCAACAGCTCTTCTAAGAAGTCAGAGAACTATTATTACAATTATTCTGAGTTCACAAATTTTAGAGTCCTATAGTGACTTTGAAAAGTTGGATTATAAACCACCTTTGTATAATTTCCTTTTGAGACTATCACACAGAAATGTAGAAAGTGTCTTGAGGAGTAGGTGTCTGTGCTCACTGTGTTTCCCTTGTCTGTAAACTGTCAGTAAATTGACACAAGCATTGTGAAATTAAGCACTCATACCTGAAGATAGTCTAAAAATTAATAATTTTCCACTGCATTAATATGTACATGCTGCTCATATTATATATTTAACTCAGGTTTAATGGGATACTTGAAAATCTATATTTAACAGGGAAACAGAAGTATAGCACATTTACTTCAGAGAAACTTTAACTTTTGGGATTCCTTGATTGCTGAGTGCTTGATTTTAAAAGCTGTAGCTTGCATCTTTATTAGTATAATTTGACTATTATTTTAAAAGAAATAATAGTGATGGATGCTTAGGAATATCTAAAATAGAGTTCTTCAGCTGTGCTATGTACAAGATTTTCACCCAGCTTAGCTGGGACCCAAGTCCTTTTCTAAACATACAGTCTTTGTAGCCTGTTCTGTGGAACTGTTAAGTTACTCAAATTTAAATTTACCTTCTGCTTCAGCAGTTTAACTTATCAATTCCTATACCCCAGTAGCTGGACAGTTATTATCAAATAGACCACATCTGTCATTATTGGTCCAATCAATCATTCAGCATCCCAGCAGGCTCCTCCACTGACTTCAGGAACCAGAGCCAGATCTGCTTTAGATACGAGAATCATGGACTGATAGTTGAAATTAGGGACCTATCTTATGTAGTTGAGTCAAAATAGTCTTAAGGGGTTAATAGATCCATATTACAATGTAAGATAGGCACCTAAATCCTTTAAGTTCCTCTGGATGTATCACTCAGTGTTCATACCACCTGCAGTATTCTTCAACTTCTACATCTGTACGAGTAAATACA